GCTGAGCCTAAAGTTGATCTCTTTTGATTTATTCCCTCAAGCCTCGGAGCCAAGTATGAATTTTAATGTATTGAAATTGGTCTTATATAGGATGCATATAATTTTTTTGAGCTCAAACTTTGAAATGCGGTAGTTTTGGGGTCATTTTCACTGCTTCTTGGCCTTCGAAATCGAAAACACTGATAGCCTGATTTGGAGATACATTTTGCTTTAATTATTTCAAGACACGCTTTAATTTTGGGGAAAAAATATTAACCTGCTCGATTATTTAGTTAACATGTTATTAACAAGACACATTCTATTTACGTTGACAAGAAGAAGAACAAATAATTTCTCGCGAAGCAAAAAGTTCATTAGTTTGGTAATCGTGGATCATATCAAACGCAAACTTGGTCGGCTTTTGGCGATAAATTTCGACGGTACCAAAGTATTAGGGTGTTCAGTCGTTTGGGAAATCGAACGCGAAATCCGAAAACGAATTTCAACGCTGAGATATCTGTTCTTGGATTCTCTTTTTTCCGTTTTTTGGGGAAATCCGAAAAAAAAAACTTGAAAAACTGTTCTTTAGAACAGCGGTCTTACACGGGTGCTCAATAGATGGGAGGAGTTTAAAAGAGAGAGACATTTGTTCTCGTAAACTTTGACAAGACCAACAAAACTAATATGCTTCAAACGAAAAAAGCAAGAGTTTATAAACAGCAGATTATCCAATCCACCCATTGTAGGCCGTCTAGAGATCAATATCGTTCTTTTTATTGTGTTATTGTGTTTAAACTTAAAAATATTGACCAAGATGCCAAGCCTAAACCCTTGTTAATCGAGCAAGAAATTGAATAAATTATATGATTTTGCTCCTTTTTCTATTGCCTCACTGTATTTTTCAGTATTGGTCATGGGGGATGTCTATTAGAAGGGGGGCGTTTATTAGATGGGGGCTTCTAATACAAACCTAACATCCAGCGTAGCGGAGGCTTTTATTTGAGAGGGCGCGTCAATTAGATCGTATCATTATTTTACGGTATGTGAAAGGAGCGCCATTTTCTCTTTTCTGTTAAAAATAGTACATAAAAATTATGAGGGTTAAAGGGTACTCAAGACACTCCAGGGTATAGATTCTTTAGGTTCTTCAGTAAAAAGCTTAAAAACAACAGTTTAGCACTACAGAAATCAGGTGCCGGGTTAAGGTTTTATGGTTAGGGATAGGGTTAGATCCGCCCCTGGAAAAATCAACCAGTAGCATTCTAAGTCAAATTGAAGTCTGAAAAACAAAATTATAGAAATGTATATATTTTTGCGTCCTGAAACGTTTTAAATGCGAACTCATTACGATCATTTTCAATATTACTACCTTCTTCATCTAAAACATTTGGAAATTCATTTTGTTTTCCAATCATTTCTAGACTCGCTTTAACTATGGGGACATAGATTAAACCTGCTCTTTTATTTAGTTAACAAATCATCAACATAACAACAAAAATATACAATTTGTATGCTTTATTTAGGACGACATAAAAGAAGAAACGTGGCACGCGGTCAATGATTTCCAGTAAATATGCCTTTTCGCTTTTAGCTTTATCAGAAAAGGAAACTGTCCCGTGGATATAGTTTGTTTACGTTTGTCGTATCTCGTAATAGATACGCCTAAGCCTTCTAGCCAGTGTGATTCATACTCATATCTAACTTTTTATCTCAATCAATAACCTTAAAAGAAAAGGAATATATTATAAATAATGGAAATCAGTTGACCTGCTCGGTTTTAATTAAAATTTAATTACAAGGGCCAGAGATAAAATAAAATAAAATTAAAAGGGCCAGAGAACCTCAAAGGGAAGAGAAATATTATTGAAACTAATTTATGGATGCTTTCTATCCAGGTCATTGGCAGATCGGTATCACAAACGGACAGGCTACCTTACTTGAAGATACCCGCACAGTGCTAACACTGAAGTCTTTCAAAGGATTGGGACTAAGTTTCTATAAAGGTGAGTGAGCGTGTGTATTTTATGTTTTATTTTAATCTTATTTGCCACATAATAATAGAAATACAAATGATATAGGAAAAGTAGAAAAAACAAAGTGGCGAGGAGAGTTAACAGAAACTATAGGAGCTTATGAGAGGTTACTGGCCTTCTCGTAATACGGGCTAGAGCTGTTTACATCAATTGAAGAAAAAATGGCGAGAAGTCGATTAGATGGAAAGATTTATGATCGGTTTTTATATTTACTTAATAATTTAATCTTCGCAGTATTTTCTTAAAAGAGGAAAGTGATTGAGAGTTGATGACCTCGTTGTCAAGTGAGTTAAAAAACTTTAAGGTACTTGAAAAAAGGGTGAGAACTTCTTAGTGTTTGTTCCACAATATGGTAGACAGTTATAAGGCCCGGGAATTTCTTGTATTGTTATTGTTATTCTTGTATTGAAAGAGTGATCCTACGTCAAATTCACCTCGGTCAAAGGGCGTGGAGATCTTATCATGCAAGTCGATTCGTGCAAGTGCAGTGGAATGAGTTTTTCTGAAGCCGTATTAGTTACTTACTAGGAAGTTGAAATTCGTCAGGTATTGCATGAACGATTGTATGGTAGTTGGTGAAAAGCGACTGATCATCAGGTTTAAAAACAGATATCTCGCGAGCAATTTTCATTTCATCGGGAACAATACCATGCTGAATGAACAAGTTTATGGTATGGGTGAGTGGTTCGGAAACAAGTATCGAATCAGTTTTGTGCGATAAAAACATCTTTTCTCTTCCTGGAAAAAAGTCACTTCCTTTCGAAGATATATTTCTGCGGTGGCCGTAATGGTATAAATCACGATATCAAAAATATCACACTTTTTTTAGAACCTAAGTAAATTATTCTCCCTCTTTTTTAGGTGTCGATTTTCAATTTTATCGTCTCGACAATCTAGGCCTTTGGAGCCATAAGCCCGGATCGACACAAGCTACCTACTTGAAAATGGGGGAGCCTACATTGTTGACCCAAGAGTGGTTAATCGGGGCGGTTACACGGACTTTGCTTGTTTCATGCACAGTAACAGTGATGAAGTAACAATTGTTTAAAATATACCACGGCGTGATGACGTTATCATCATACATATTTATTAATCGTAGCAGACGAGAGACTTAACAGGATATTAAGAGTTAGTCAATGCCAAACAAAAAAGAGATTACCTTACTTAAACTGAAGATACGTTCATACGTAAATTAAAATGGCCTGAAACAAATTTAATTATGTGCCATGAAGGAAACCTTTTAATGCCAATGAAAGAATTAAAAAAATAAATAAATAAAACTGCATTTTTAACCAGACACATATTGTGATGAATTTATGTAGAGATTCATATTTATCCTTGGTCAATATCCTTGGCTCACTGCCAATTTCTTTCCTTACAGCGATTTTACCGACAATATTCCTGGTTATATCTGCCGCGCCTTGGCTAATGAAAGTAAGTATCCCGGAGAGCTTCAAACAAAAAATTTTTTTTAATGCTCTACCTAAAGAAAGCACTGGGTTATATTGCACGCAAGGGTATGCGAACTATGATGGGGCCAATTAAAAAAAAAAAAGAATTCAAGCATGGCTGTTTTTTTAGAGTCTCAAAACAATAGCTGCACTCAGGCTCGTAAATTACACTTGCAACAGCTTTATTTAAGTGACCCCAGCTTCGGCTTGCAAGGCAGACCAGCTCAAAAATCACACCACACGAGGAAAGTGGGAGAGGAAAAATGTAGTGTACAGAACGGAGAGAAAGGAAAAGTGTAATAGTCGAAATCTTAGCTCTTAGTTTTTATTCTTGGTTACTATAATTTGAAGATAGTTTTTAACAAGAAAAAAATAGTACTTTTCTTGGAAAGCGTGACATTTCGCATTGGCTTACATCGGCATAACCATATCCTGCATCGTTATATAGTTGGAAATTTTTCCCTATCGCGCACGCTCTCATTGGTTACTTCGATGTCACATGACATCTAACATTGAAACTATTTCCCACCAAAATCCCTGAGCGAGCAACGTTGCAAAATCTATGACGTCAGAGGGTAACAGTGCACTATTATTACATTTCTAGCTTCAAAATTTACAACTATATAGCAGATCACTTATTGAAGGCTGGTCCCTAGGGAAACAGTTCATTTTGTTTCCCTTCGCTCTGCCTCGGCAAACAAATTTAACTGTAAAGTTTTTCCTCGGGACCAGTTATTAAGTGTTCAATATGGTCCTGTGATACTGCTAAAAAAATACCTTGCTTTGACAGCCACTAATTGACATCCAAAATATACAAAAGTTTAATTACATCCAATATTAAAGTTGTAGCTGGACGTTGGCCAATGCAATTTTTTTGCAAAGATAAACTCTTGTTGTCTGCCCATGACACCCCCTCCCACTACTCTCACTGCAGGAAAACTTGGATTAACGCAAATTTGCTTGGTGCAAATGTGGTGCAAAAAAGTGCAAACTATAGGGAAATCAGAAGCAAAGATGGTAAATTCTGCATTTGCTTGCCAGTTATTGCCAGTTATGCGGTATTTACCATCTTTGCCCGTTATTTAACCTTAGCTTGCACTTTTTGCAGCAAATTTGCATTGAGTAAATTTGATGTAAATCAAACTTTTCGTGCAGTGTCTCCTTTCCAGGAGGCTCTTGTCCCACTCCTCCAGAGTCTGTACGTATGTTAGCCGACGCCAAGACCTAAATTTGTCGCATCTATAGGTTACCGGACTTTCTTACCCAAAAAATTTGGTTATACTGCATGCAGTCTAAATAATATATCTGTAAATTGAAAAGCACGCAAATGTTTCTAAAGAAATTCCTTCTTACACCCCACTAATACAGACAGACTCAATTCCTATTAAGGACATGAACACTTGACTGTTTGCGGAACCAAAGAAGTCCGGCCACAATAACAGAAATTGGCTGTAAATCGCAACCTTTACCCTCAAAAGCAAAAGCCCTCAGGAACGACGTTGTAAATCCATTTTATCCGATATGGTAGCCAAGAATCCTAAAAAAATATCTGGACACGTTCGTAATATTGAAAGCCTATCCTTTTGACAATACTATGAGGATGACTTTTCGCTGATACTGTATTGAGTTCGCAAATCCTTTTTCCTGGGCTTTTCGTGTATTGCATTGAAAATGACAAGCATGTCTTGTGTTGACTGCACTTGAGCCCGCATTGTATTTTGCTGGTCACTTTTGTTTTAAGAAGCAGAAAGCCTTCTACTGCTATGTCCTTACTTGTCACCCAAGAGTTATAGAAGGCGGATTTATCTGTTGACAAAAACAAAACAAACCAATCTGTGATCAGAGGGAGAAATGGTCTTTCATAAAAACTGCAAGCATTAATGACAAGAAAAGGCCATTTGCTCGATGACGTTATTTTACCACTACGACCAGAATACTCCAGGGTTTTGCTTTCATGTGTGAATTAGGGCTTTAGAATTGCTAAATTTAAATATGAAAGGAAAGACGAAAAGGATTCTGGCCGTAGTCAGGACTAAAAAAATATGACTAATGACACTGATTAAGGTATAATCCAAGTTTATATAAACACTAAATTTTTAAAGATACTACAGTCGACTCCCGATAACTCAAACCTTTGAGGGAAATCGAAAAAAGTTCGAGTTATCGGAAGTTCGAAGCAAATAACCGGAGATAAGTAGGTGGATGGGGAGGAATGCAAGTATCAAGCACTCTTCACTTCAAGGACTTCAGTACTCTGTTTTTTCCCCCGACCTGTCACGCGCATAAAACATGGTTCGAGTTATCGAGGTCAAAATTATATAGAAACGATGTGGACAGAAACAAAAATTACTTCGAGTTAGCGGAGGTTCAGGTTACCGAGGGTAAAATTACAGTAAATGTATGAAGGAAATCTAGGGGAAATTGATTTTGGTTCGAGTTGGCGCGAGGTTCGAGTTGGAAGTCAATTACTTGAGCTGCGCGATTTGCGCTACTCTTTATATCACAAGGAAAAGGCGGTTAGACCTATCTTTTCCTTGATTTTGCTCTGTTATAGAAATGCTCTGTAAAGCTTAGCCTGTGGTGACCCCTACAAAAAGACAAAAATATTATGGGCTATGGCACTGCTAAGGGAGAGTAATCTCATTCCAAATAGCCGCCATCTTAGTCGCAGTCTTGGATTTTACTGAAAATTCAGAGATTTAAAAAAGTAGTTTTGAAACTAACTGCTTATCATATTTGAGGTTGAAATTTTGTTATTAGTAAACATTTTGGTATTTAATGTCCTGTTTGTCTTTTTATGGGATGAAGCGAAAAAGGGCCCTACTAGAAGGGTGGGGGAGGCAAAATATGAACAGAGATTCACCATTATTAGTGGATCCGGAGCATTTTACAATAACTTTGATTAAATATTCGCCCGAAGTCATTGGTAGATAGCCATAGTCTATAGAATGAGTAAATTAAACAACGGAAGTGGCGGGAATTTTTAAAACTATGCGGTTATTGTGCTGGCATGGGGCTTGTGTTTCCATTTCGAGTTTTTGATGTCATTTCTGTTATCAGGAGCTGTGATCCGGTAGAAAGTAGAAAATTGTGATGAATGCGGTAAATGGAACTAAATGCTTACCCTGGCTACAGGGAGATACGAGATGACGTCGACAATACACCTCGGTATCTTCTACGTTGTCCTTTGTCCAAATCCAGCTTGCACTGCTGTCGATGCTGCTGAACTTTCCCCAAGGAAATGTATTGTCATCATTTGGCCCAACTGATGTCGCCATTGGCCAGTTATCATCTTCATAAGTCCTCATATTCCACCCCAAGGTAGCTGACGTCACACATTTCCATAGTGTGTCGGTAACTAATCCGTTTTCAAACGATCCCAGAATTCCTCCTTGCCAAGGCTGAGGATTTCCTTTGCATTTGAGAGCTACCACTTGACTCCCTGGTGCTAGTTCGTATTGAAGAAAACTTTTGTTTTTGACGTTTGCATCACCTTCACCCACGAGGTTTCCATCCACGAAGAGTGTAAGGAAGCTATCACACGTGATGTTGAGTTTGATGGCACTGGAAATCCCTTTGCAATGCAAAATAATAACATAAAATGTTGCCGTACCTGTCGTACGTTATGCTCAAGTTAACGGCATTTTCGATGCTCTTTCATTCACTTTGCAAATATTCAATCACAGAGGCGAAAACGGAAACACGTTTGTTAAATTGAGTTTCATGTTATTGATAGTGCCTTTGCAATGCAAAGAAACTGCCAGAAAATACCAAGAAAACTTCTTTACTTAAAAGACGCGAAGCGCCAGCGTGATATTTTTGCGCGACCCCAGTCTCAATCTCCGCCGGTTTTTACCCTCACAGACTGGCTTTCCATTGACCTCTCGCGCGCGCGTTCTTAACCTATATACTAAGAAAAAATACCGGCTGTTTCAGTCTAAATATCTCTGAGAGGCAAAGGAATCACAGTTGAAAAAAACAACTAAACTGAAATTGTCACTCACTACAGTAACACCGCCTCTAATCGCCTCTAATAAAGCATTTATTCTGAATGCTTTTGCAATCATAGGAAGTAATTGGAATGGAAATAGTATCAAAGCCTTTAAAAGTGTCCATTATTTGAACTATTGTTACCACCGTACACGGAATCTTCACTTACGTATTTTACACGCTCGGGGCGAAAACTTCTCGACGGTGAAAGAACACAAAATTCCCCCGAGTGTGCCCCGTTTTCCTTTCCTTAAGCGTTCAACTCCACTTTGATTAACAAACGGTAAGAACTGTATAATACAAAGGCTAGCGCTATAGATCAAAGGTTCTACATCTGATACTACATAGTTATGCGAATGCTAATATAGTCTCAAGCTCAAAATTCGTCTGAATCCGCGGTGCTAGGCTGTCGTGCTTGCCAAATAATCGAAATTTACAATCCGGCCTGGGTGACGGGATAATGACCTCAAAGCTTTAAACCGCCGCCATATTGGATTTTTATTATTATTTGATAAAAATAGTGTGTGCCGAAATAGGGACAGAAATTATAAAAGGGGTACCGAAACGTTCTTAATTTAAGTTTAGATTTGTTCATTAGGTTTGGAAGTAAGAAAAGTTGCACATGTTTCACCATGAAAATGGAGCTTAACTTATGTTCATTTGGTTGTTATTAGGCCTAGTAATATAAAAATTACAATTCTGTAGGTTCATGCATGTGGAATAGGTATAAGAACAGGAATTACAGGTAACTGATCTCTGCAAGACCAGTTCTATTTGATTCTACAATAATTTCAACACTGAACACATTCACCTCTCGCCTCTAATGTGTAATCCGTAAACTCTCTGAACGGAAAATACTTAGGTTATGTTCTAAAAAGAAGACGTTTATTGTCTCGTTAGTTTTTTCTTTGGACTTTTTGAGACTGATTACTAAATTAGAATATACTTTCCTTTATGATATGAGGAGGAGTGGACGAATACATTATTCGTCAAACGTCACCTATGTTACGAGGTTAGGTTTTCCGATTGCCCTACAAGTAGCGACGGAACGCCTTGGAAACTGATTGTCTAGCCAGAGGACACCTTTTGAATTAACAGTACCATATATTTTACATAAATATTCATACCTGTGTCGCTGCAACTTAAGGCAAGAGAAAATTCCTTTAAAATGAGAAATACCGCCACGATTCTCAACAGCTTAGATATTTGACTCATTTCTCCCTGTAACTGATCATATTCCCTCTCCATGGAGGTGCAGATGCATAAATGTGTTTATTTGATTCACATCTATTCTTCTCAAAAATTGCTTTTCTTTGAGATCAAAATTCCTGCTGGTAAAAATATCGAAGCAAATTTGTTAGTGCATTACTTGACAACATGAAGCTGATAATTATTTTTCTATCCGTAATGACCAATGAAATTTTAGCTTGTCACGGAAGTTTTCGAAAGCACGAATGAAATTTCCAATTTACAAGCGTATGACCAGTAGGCAGAAGGGAGAAGTGTAAATAACGTAATCGTTTGCGTATTTAGGAAGGAAAACTTCCTGTATCTTTTCATTCTCATCTCAAAGGAAAATCTGTTTAGAAAAAAAAAAAAAAAAAAATTCGCGCAAATGTCTTTGTAATGAAAATGAAATTTTCCGTTTAAAGATAAAACTGTTTTCTTCTTTCTCCTTGATGCATATAAAAATTAACAAATATCGAAACTAATGCTAATGAGGTAAAGTTATCAAACGAAAAGTTATTACTTTTTTACTTGATATTTGCACAAATTGAAATTATTGAAATATATCGTCAAAAAGGTAAAGCCCATAAGTGTCAAATTTGATTCCAATTCTTGAGTCTGTGGTTAAAAAATTCAAGAGTGTACGACTTAACATAGAATAAAACAATTATCTTCTTTCAAAGAAAATCTATTTCTGAGTTGTTTAACTTACGTTTCCCGTGATAAAAGACAATGAATGTCCTTTTGAAAGGTGTAATTAAAAACTATCAAGTTGACCATTGATTCTCGCACAGATCGAAAGTTATTACGCACTGGTGACACCCTTCATATCCTCTCACGTACAAGATAACAAAATGCAACATCGGCGACCATGTGTATCAATTTAGGCTTTTTTTCCCGAGGAAACTTAACCTGAGATCAGGCCCAGTTTAACGGAAATACCATTATTAACTTTCATTTTTAAAACAAGGCCCAAAAGGTAAACTTAATTGTAGTTAAGAAGATCTTGAAACATTTTTATAACGCTGAAATAGATTAATGACTGGCGCCAGCTTCTTGCATACTAAGATTTAGGTTTGCTCGTATTTGTTCATAGTTTAACTTAAAGCATTTCTAAACCTAGCCTCCTTCTTTATTTCTTATGCCGCTAATTAACAATGCGGTTAAAGTGAAAAAAGACCCGCACGTTACGAAAATTAATAAAAAACGTAAACATGAATAGTATTTGAAGGCTATGACGTTCACACGGTTGGAACAATTTTCGTTCAGATACGTTGAAAATTCGTGAGTTTAGGTGTTCACACGAAACAACCTTAACCGTGCGAAAATTTAGACACCTAGCTGTTGAAAAATTTGAAAGTTCAAAATCGTTGTCAGTTTTTTAGCCAGTATAAGGTCGCTAATTTGACCGGCGCGGTGTGAACACCATAACCGTTTCTATTTTTGTACTGCAAAGGCGTGGTTGCATGGATGCGTGGTATCTCAGCTAAAAGAGGCCCAATCTCGTTCTCAGAGGTCGCGATCCTTTTGTACAGCGACGGAGATCATTAATCCATCCGCTGCACAAAAGTAACGGAGGCTCTGGGGACGAGATTGAAAGAGGCCATTTTGTATTTTATCAAGTAGTTTTCTGCGCATGGGCAGGTGGTATAACCTCTGACAAAAGTTCGACCTGGTTCGTCAGTTCCCAGTGTCAAGGGAGTGAAAATATTGTATGGTTTTGAGTGAACGAATTGTCCTGTCAAATTTTTCAGCCGATCAAATAATTTATGCAGGGTCTTGTGAACTGAGTGCAGCATCGGAGAACCTGCAGCTATTTTCTCGGCACAGACCAGAGGACTGGATCGGCTAGGAGGAATCATGGGCAGATTTTTGGTGATCTGTCGTCCGTTGCAATTCGAAGCAGTCAAGGTCACCACCCACTCAAGCTCCAAAATTGTATTTTGTAAATTTTGAGGCATTTGTTTGAAACCATTTCTCACTTACTACATACCACTGCGTACCACGGTACCTTTGCGGCGGACCATAGTTGTCGTCAACGCTGCAATTGTTTTTAGAAGATTGGGGTTTACATTTTCTTTTTCCTCCACAACGTGGTTTCGGGTTTTTAACTGGCGGCGTCGCATCTTCAGGGCGGAAAAACGTTCCGCGCAAGCTTCTGCGCATCCCTCGGTCGTAGGCTTAAGGTGGGCTTTTCTGTGTGTCACTGTTTGTTTGTGTCGTTCTGAGAGAATTCTGACTGAGACTGAATGAAATACACGAGGTGCGAGCCTCAGTTGATTAACAATTAATGAATGAGGCTGAGTATCTTATGAAAAATTATGGAGATCGAGGAGGGTACGGCAGAGGCGGATAACAACCTCCGAGATCTTCATAATTCTTCATATGATACGAAAGCCAAATTCAATAATTGTTTTATTATTCATTCAAAATAATTCCTAGTTTAAAAACATGGCTAAAACATGCTTACCTCCATCGATCCATCGATGTTAAGTTCATCTTCGATAGTGCACGTTTAGGTTTGTCCAGCCCCGCAAATATTCTTCAGACAGCAGGATGTCGCCCTTCGAGTTGTTTTCTTGCTGTTTTTGCCATGTTTTTAGCTATTTTTTTTTGCCTAGTTCTTACTTTTGAAATGAGTAAAATGTCCGCCATATTTCAAGCTCACAACCAAAACAACTCAACCTCGTCCCCAGCTCTTCTCGGCTAACGGTGCCTTAACCTCGTTAAACACAAAATTCTTCCAAATTTGGTCATCAGTAACTGGTTATGGTGAATTAAACGTGTGCTTTTAGGCAATCAGAATCGTACGATGAATCGGGAAAATATTTTGAATGAATAATAACAAATGTTAAATATATGATCTTCGATACGAGTAGTGCCACTTAATTAACTGGTGACCCAAGTGTACTCTGCGAGATAGGAAGTATGGGCCGGGTTTTGTTTCCGCACTTAAATAGCAGAAGTTAGCGAATTTATTTTTGATAAATTAACGGTTAAAAGGCTTTAAAAAAAATAAAGTTTAAAGTTAAGTGTACTCAAACTTGCTGTTGTGTTTGTTTGTTTGATTCTTTTTACTCCTTTTTGTGGTTTGTCTTTGCAATTCGATTGTTAGGCACGAGAGATCTTGAGGGCGCGCGCTCTTGTGTTACACCCATATATGCATCTAGACCAGAGAAAGTTCGAAAATGACTTTTTCGTTGTTCGTCGGATCGATGGCACGATGACGTCATTTTACTACAACTACCAGAATCCTTCAGTTTGTTGTTTTCTTGTGCAAATTAGGGCTATTGTTGTTTAAACCTCAAAGGGATTGACAAATTTCAATAAGAAAGCAAAAACGAAATAAATTCTGGTAGTT